GCGCTTTGTAATATATATATATATATATTTATTTATTTTTTTTTTTTCTTTCCTTTATGTTTTTGAAAGAAGTCTCTTAAGCTTACCAAGGCTGCATTTATTTGCCCAAAAATACAGTAAATACACTAATATTGTGAAATCTGTTTTGTATTTGAGCTATAAATAAAGGTGACTGAACGCAAAGCTGAGTTTTCAGCATCATTACTCCAGTCTTCAGTGTCACATGATCCTTCAAAATAGTTCTAATATGCTGATTTGCTGCTCAAGAGACATTTCTTATTGATAGTTGAAAACAGTTGTGCTGCTTAATATTTTGGTGAAAACTGATATCACCACTCAAAAGAAAATAGTAATGAGAATCAATATTAATAATTGAGCCCAAATTAAATTGATAATAACCGAGCAGCAAATCAGCATATGATTTCTGAAGGATCTTGTGACCCTGAAGACTGGAGTAATGATGCTGAAAATTCAGCGTTGCATCACAGGAATAAATTACATTATAAAAATGACATTATATTCCAAGAGAAAACAGTTATTTAAAGTTGTAATAAATAAATGCAGACTTAATGAGCATAAGAGACTTCTTTAAAAAATATTAAAAAATATAAATTATTCCAAAGTTTTGGAAGTGTATCCAAGAAGCTTCAGAACATTGGTCATCATGCAAAAATATCACAATAGTTAGATTTTTGCTTTTCACACACATACAAACAAACCATCCAAAGTTAAATGCACAACAAATGACATTTCTCAGGCAGAGTACCTTCTCCCCCTTCTCTCCTCTTTGCCCATCCATCCCTGGTTCACCCTACACAAATGCACAGATAAGGACATCTTCAGCAGAGCGACACACACCACAAATACACACAAACTGCTGAAGGCCAACGGGAGCACATATGCAGACATGGGACATGTGATCCCAAACAAAGTCATGAGTTGAGAAAGAGTTTTCATCTGCCACACTCTGATGCCAGAAGCCAGAAACAATAAATCGATGAAGATGATGATCTAGAGTAATCCTCTGATCCTGTGCGCATCAGGACGTTTCACTATGGGGGCTCTACAGGGTGGTCGGGGGGGGGAGGCGGCAGGATGTGCAGAGGAAATGAAAATTCCATCAAATTCAGGCTAGGAAAGGATTTCAGTGAGACACAGAGTTCACATAAGATGTCTGGCCCATGGACTCGAGCCTCTGCTTCCTCCCTCGTCTGAACACAGAGTTTATTAAACACCCCATGAAATTGTTTGGCAAGCACAGTTTTCATTTCTGTGTAGTATTTTCTACTGAAACAGGTTTGGGCAGGACATACAACATATATAAAAAAAAAACAATAGCTAAATGTCCTTAGCTACAGTACATCACAGCCACAGCATGATATGCTATTTGCTAGTCAGAGGCAGTTGGTATCAGGCAGTGTTAGTTTAGTATTATTTAGTATTTGTGATTTTTATAGTATTTTATAATGATTCCACTTTTTATATATTTTTGTATATTAGTAATTCAAGTTTAATTATTTTTAGTAATTTTGTTACATGCTTTTGCCATTTTTCTGTTTAGCTTTAAATGTAGTTTCATTTCAGTGTTAGCTTTAGTCATTTGAATACTTCAATTTATTTTATTTCTTTTAGTTGTCATTTAAAAAATAGTGCAGGATGACTTGCTTTGTGCATTTTGAGTTCTGAAAGTTACAGTATGTTTTCATAATCCATTTGGACATACTCAGGAAAATTGCTTCCTCATGAGATGACCCTTTTAAGATATCACACCCTGTGTTTTCCCTGGCCAGTCCAAACAGATGAGTTCATTGAGGCTAACTATCACTGTTGGCTTTACAGGACAACACAGCATTAAGCAGCTAGACAGTCAGAATAGCTGTATCCTCTAGGGACTATTTGTGCATCAGCAGGTGTAAAGTTTACGTGCGTCCCACTCCTAATTACAGAGCAAAAGTCTCCCCAGTGAGAAACCGTGTAAGCACTCCAGCAGATGCATGTCTTTACTAGGAGCAATGCCTCATACATGTTATACAGTCATACAAACATAAATCTTCAGATGTTTAGATTTACTCTCTACAGAACACTGCTCATTCAAGATGCTTCAGCCAATTAATAGGTTAAATATCTGCTTGGAATCTAACAAGATTCTAATAAGATTTATGAATCTAATTAGATTTACTGTATGTTTGACTTTAATAAACCCCCCAAATGACATAATAATAAAAACTGAATTCAATCTGAGATCTGCATACATAGAACAACAATAAATGTAAAGTGTGCAATTTATGCATCACCACACGCAATTGCAAGTTGGTCTGCCATTGGCTGATCGAACAGTTAGCCCCGCCCCCAAACTCATGGAATTGGTTGAGTCAATGTTGCTATGTTGGGCTGGTTGAGAGTAAACAAACAGGTCAAAGTTTTGATGGCACTATAAGGACGGGACATTCACCCAACAAATAAGTTACTTACAGTTTAGTATTTTAACACAGACTAAAATTATTCATATCACTTTTAAACTTCCAACCATTATAAGAAAATGGCCATTTTTAAAACAATGAAGCAAAAACAGCAATAGCAAGAACCACGTGTTCCTTACCTTCATTCCTTCATCTCCTTTAATTCCCTAAAGAGAAGCAGAACAAACAAAGTGATCAATATGCTATGAAATGCAAAAACAGCTTCTAAAAAGTCAAAAGGTATAATGTGACCTGCTTTTCCTTGATCTAAAACAACTAATTTACATCTATCAAAGCAACAGGGCAAAATCAGCAGAGTTTCAGTTCACAACATCATTTATCTAAACGGCCCATTCAGTCTCCCGTTTAGTGGAGGAATTATTTGAGCAAACATTTCTGTTCTGTCATATTCAATGCCATATGGCTTGGCAGCACATATGGCTTAGTAAATAGCTAAACATCCATGAAGGCGACAGACAGTAATTTTTCAGAATTAATTGTGTTGGTAATGTGCCGAATAACGTGTCTCCTCTGATTTTAACCTTTTAATTGTAAATCCATTGACTTGGCCCTTCGCCTCTCTCACAGATTAATGTAAAGATGTCTCTTTTCCGAGTAGAAATGGTAGGCCAGACAGGAGACAACCTCAGTTCACAGGGGAGAACACCTTTTAGCCTGCCTCCATAATTCTCTGGTTTTGTGAGCATTCATGAGCGCAGCGCCTGCCAATATCCAGAAGGTGGTGCAGTTGTGCAGAATAACTGCTTCTCTGTTTTAGTACAAAAGATTTCACCTGAGCTAGTGTAGTGACATGATGGGCAACCAAGTATGGTGTCCCATACTCGCAATTTGTGCTCTGCATTTAACCCATCCAAGTGCACACACACAGCAGTGAGTAGTTGAACACACACACACACACACCGTGAACACACACCCGGAGCAGTGGGCAACCATTTTTGCTGAGATGCCCAGAGAACAATTGGGGGTTCAAGGGTCAAGGGTCTCACCTCAGTCGTGGTATTGAGGGTGGAAGAGAGCGCTGGTCATTCACTCCCCCCACCTACAATCCCTGCCGGTACCAAGACTCAAACCCACGACTCTCTAACCATTAGGCCACGACTGCCCCCAAAGCTAAGATGAGATTGAATGTAAAAGTAACAAACACAGTGCAACTTCAGTCTATCGTATAGAGGAATTTTCCATAAGCTCACTGTATGACATGCTTACTATCAATCTAGCTTTAGCTATTGACTGGGTGCGTGTGTTGGACATGAACAACGTGGCTGATGGAAGAAAGCTCAAGTTCACAAAGGTAGATTTGGAAGAGATTGGATATGCAGGTTGTTCCAGAGTTCACATGTGTAAAAGTGTAACACAAATCCAAGATTGCAAACTATATAGGTTGTATCAAAGCAAAGCAAATTCAATTTCACATGGAAAAAATTATATGTGGTTTTCGTGCCAACATGTATCCCTCACAAAGTGTCAATCACTGCACTTGTAACTGCACATAGGCTAAGCTGTTTGACCCACTGTTCTATTCTGTGCTATTCTGGAAACAAGTGTGGAATGAGGTGGAAAGATTGTTGCGTGTGCAGGAAATAAAAAACGACTCAGTTCAAGTTTGCGGTCAGTAAGTTATTTTTTAAAGAAATGTATATTTTTATTCAGAAAGGGTACATTAAATTGATCAAAAGTGACAGTAAAGACATTTTTATGTTATTTCTTCTTTTTTTAAATAAATGTTATTTTGACATTTTTATTCTTCAGAGAATAGAAAATAAAAAAGATATCATGGTTTCCACAAAAATATTGATAATAATAAATTAGAATGATTTCTGAAGTATCATGTGACACTGAAGACTGGAGTAATGATGCTGAAACTTCATCATTTGCACCACAGGAATAAATTACATTTTAAAATATATTCAAATAGAAGCAGTTGTTCTAAATTGTAATAATATTTAGAATAACATATTACTGTTTTTATTGCATTTTTGATCAAATAGATGCAGCCTTGGTGAGAATAAGATACTTATTTTATAAACATCATTAAAAAACACTTACTGCAGAGTATTTTGTGCTTTTCATAGCATTACACTAAGCCCCATTTACTATCTTAATTCAATCTTTCATTACCTCAGGGGTAATGCACTCAATGACTTTAGAGTTAAGCAGACTGCTCAAGGGGAAGACAATAAAACCCCAAACAGATGCTGTTATCAGCATCCCTCGGTACTTTGAGCAATTCCTCTAGTGCTCCAATGGTAGTTACCCAAAGAGATATTCTTTATAAAAGTTAAGACTCGTCCACGCCCTCCTAAAACGCCTCGTTTAAACACGCCCCCACATGTCTGCATCACTGTGTGGGAAGATTTGCATAACACCGCCCAAATCTTTACGCAAAGAAAGAAGGCGTAACTTTGATTCTAGCTGTAGTATTGTTGCCGCCGCCATGTCGTGGAGACGCTGTGTGTTTCGTTGTGAAAGTGAAACTACTTTGTTTGGTCTTCCAAAAGAGGACACAACTAGAAATCAGTGGTTAAGTTGTATTTACAACACTGATCCAGACCAGTTCAACCCAAATATTCAGACGCCTGCAGTGCATTTTACAGAGGACGAGGACTGTTTCCTGGGAGAGTAGCCTACAATGCCGGTGTTCCGGCGAATTCAGTTCCCCTGTTTCCCCTTCGGCACGCATGCTGACCCTATACAGTCTATAATGCTAACTCACTTGAGGTATTCAGCTAATCACAACGCAATCAGAGCACACCTCGCTTTTCAGACCGATGAGCTTTGTAAAAATCGACGCGTTTCAGAAAGGCGGGGCATAGAGGAGAAACAATAATGTACAGTATGTGGAAAATAATGTGTTTTTTGAACCTTAAACCGCATAAACACATTTCATTACACCAAATACACAAAATAATGTTCTTTTTTATCAACGTCATATGACCCCTTTAAATACGTCTGTGTTTCCTGCATCCTTCACAACTTCAAGACTTTGATTGACACAATAGCGCACTGGAGAAAGCTAGTAAGCTTTGAATCTGACTCAAAGGGGACTTTCAATCTGAGTTACCCTCTGTGGTGGGATTATGATATGAGTTGACCCAGAAGTGATGGGTGACCTGTAGAGCAGGTTAATTATTTAAGCTGCTTAAACCAGTCAAAGGTTACAGATTCCTACCTTGGGGCCTTCAGGTCCACTTGGACCAGCTTCACCATGACCACCCTGAGAGATAAGGACAAAATTGATTAGAGAAAGATGGCCATGCAGGAAGAAAAATGGATGAATTGTGTTCTGTCTAATCCACCAATATTTTATCTGTGCTCTGGGTTCCTCTGAGAAGAAGGATAACTTTCTAACAGTTTTGTTTAAGCAATCAACCGCAGTGCCAAATTTCTAGTCCTAAAATGTGGGATTTGACGAATGGCTTTTCGGATAACACAAACAATAAAAGTCTACTCACGTACTTTGATAGACACACTCACCTTTTGGCCAGGTACACCGGGTTCACCCTATAAAAAAGCAAAAACCATCAAAGACCTCTATTTGCTCTTTTTATTTGTTTCATACAGTCGGAGCTATTCAGTTGTAAAATGGGCAATAAGCAGAGCGGTATTCCTTTATTGGGAACTTTGTGTCCAAAGGAGAAAGCTTCTAGTTACAGCTGTTATATAGACTGGCAGACAATCTTTATAGAGAGCTGAAATGTGCTTCTATAAGGGACTAGTGCTTCTAAATGGAGTACAATTAAAATTCCCCAGTCTAAACTCAGTGGCAATTAACGCATCAGGGGAAATACATACTTATCCAACAGCAACACGGATAATCAATTATGGCGTATCCACCCCTTCTGTACTGGCAACGACAGAGCAGACCCACCCTGTAGGCTGCTGAACTGTGTGTGAACTTCATGTGAGCCTGTTTACGACTCGCCTGTGGAAAATACTATCATTGCAGTGCAGCTGGACAGCTGTGTGCTTTTCGAGCTTACCTTCAGCCCCGGTAGCATCTACGAATGAAAGAAAAAGAAACAGACTTTCAGTTTTAATGTCAAGTATCTGAGTCAAACATACTTTCAGTTTGAAGCTTAAATTGTCATATGGAGCATTACAGACTTCCGAGTTTAAGTCAAGTATCTGTATTAGGAAGGTAAGGATGACAATGCATGTATTCAAACACTCACCCTTGGGTCTTTTCCAGGTTTTCCAGGTTCTCCGGGTTTACCCTATGCCAAAAATGAGTAAATAGTTATAACACACACACACACACAAAACAAATAAATAAATAAACAAACAAATATGAGACAATGACTGGAACAATTACACAGTGTAATGGTTATTATACCAAAAATATTTGACTGCAGAATCCCATAAAAGAACAATTTATTCCAGAGAGCTCTGAAATAAATTTAATTAGCAAATAGCATGAGTTTTGTAAAAAAAAAATTACTGATGCAGGCTTACCGGGGGCCCACTAGCACCAGTTAGGCCAGGATTCCCTGGAGGCCCTGGGGGGCCAGGAGGTCCCGGTGGTCCTTGCGCTCCGGGCTCGCCCTGCTGAGAGACAGGAAGTTAGCATCTGAGATAAAGACGTCATTTGTGAAAAAGGTACAGTTTATAACATCATAGGCAGGGTCCACTCCGATTTAAATCCAGTAATTCACAATAATGAAAATAAACAATTTGTTGATGGAATGTCTACTCAAAGAAAAATATTTAGAAATATATTTTAAAAATTCACAATAATTCACTGATGAAACAGTGGATTTGAAGCTGAGAGGAACCCAAGCCTAGAGGTTGAGTTGAAAGTCAAGAGTCAGGATGAAATGATTGATGTGGTTATTGTAGTTTATAGAGTACCATGTTTGGAAAAAAGAAAGTGAAATGATTTTTTATAATATTAATAAAAAAAAAAGTTTGGAAAAAATACAAATTTACACTTCAATGCTTTTAAGAAGCACCTTAGGGGCCCACTGACCATTAGCTAATGACTTCAACTTTTCAAACGCTGTAAAATTGCTTGTGGCCTCAGATCTTCTTCAGTAAGGTCTGCATTAGTGGTTCTCAACTGGTTTTGTTTGAAGACCCTATTTAGAATTATACATCAAATGGAGACCCAAAATTGTTTGTTGTACAAAATTGAATTTCATTTGTTTCGTTCTATTGGGAGCCAACAACAACAAAACACACTGTGGTCGGCACAAAACATGTTTATCCTCATTGTAAGTGAACTCAAATTCCATGTAGTCTAAGTCATGTTTTTTTAGGCGAGTTTGATTTGACATGCAGCCTTTGACATAAACAACAAAATATATATGATTTTTCTCATTTTTAATAGTTAATAAGTCCATTTATTTTGCTATTTTAGAAAGTTGCATTTTATTATTTACATTAAGCATAGCTTTTCCCTGGTGTCCGCAATCCTGCTGACCCATTTTTTTTTTTGATCCACCAGTTGAAAACCACCACTCTACATGATCTACTCATGGCCTGTTTTAAAACTATCTCGGGTACTTCTCAGCAAGAGGAGACCTTCAACACAGAAGAAGACTAAACAAAATCATCTACAGGAAAGTGTCCTATATTTACACAGCGAGAGGGATGTGAAAATAGGAAATAAGACTGGACTAAACAATATCCTGCTATTCCTGAGAAGAGACCATAAGGAGAACTGATTATTTAAGATTCTGCTGTGTAATTATTTTTTTTTAAAGTCTGTTTTCGACATTAAAGAGGTCTAGTATGCACTCCGAGAACTCGGTGTAAGTTAGAATAACTTTCCTTCTATTAACAGCATTTATTTCAAGTCTCCTATAGACAGAAAATTAAGACCTCCTACATGCTGGCAACCATGTACAAGACTGATTAACCACAAATAGCGCAGATACCGTGACAAAGAGAGGCCTTTCTTTAATGCAGTCTGTATTCAGTAGCACTCTGAAGCTCAGAGAAATCCGGAACACATCCATCAGACTCAGATCCATATTTTATCCATTTATTTCTTGACAGGACTTGTCTACATTTGATTTATGAGGCCAGATGTAGATCCATTAAATAGAGACATTCCATGATCTCCATCCAATGCACAGACCCGACCCAACCTGAAGACCCAGCCAATCAGCTGCAAAGTTCTTTCCCTAACACTGTGGTCTTCAGCAGTCTGTACCATTGTCTCCAAACATGGTGCTCTAAATCGGTGCACACACGCTACACACCTGTAGAAATAAGATGGAGGACGGGTGCCAACCGTGGTCAACCTGTGTCAGGGGCACTTCCTGGAGTGGGCAGTAAAGGCAGAGAGCCTTTTAATAAAGACAAAGTGGAGGGCTGACATCTCCCTTTAGGAAAGACTAATTTTGCTGCCAAATAAGCTCTCTCATTCTTTTGTTATCTTTCGACTGTCGTTGTGCGGATTATAGAATCAGATTTTGAAACTTCTGTTTGTTTTGTTAATATGGCAAGTCTTGCTCACTGTTCTTAAGGGATTTGATGAGTAACTGTAGACTGACGAAGGATATAAATGTACATTGTGAGCTTATAAACACCCCATGAAATGGCTTAACGAATGAAGTTTAGTTTTCATTTTAGATAGCAGCTGATTGGACGACAAATAAAAAAGGACATTCCGATGAGTTTTGGACTTTTTTCAATGAAGAGAAAGAATTTTAAATGTGTATATGTGCTGGAAGTTAATTGGTATTTTACAACAATTTACAACAGTGTTCTATTTGTTAACATTAGTTAGTGCAACATCTAAAATAAAAAAAAATACTTTATAGTATTTATTAATATTGGTAAAATATTAACATATGAATATATTTTTAGCATGTTGTATAAACTAACATCAGTTAATATGGGAACACTTTTAATGTGTCCTTGTTACAGGTTAAAGGTATTATAAGACGTGATAGTAAATTATGCATAATTACAAGAAACACTAAACCAAACCCTAAACCTACAATAAGTACATGTAGTTAATTAATATTACTCAGTGCATATTTGTAACCAGGACACATTAAAATAAAGTGTGGCCTTGAATATAATATCAACAAGCATGAATTGACAATGAACAATAGCAAAATTAATATTAAACTATATGATAGAATTCTTTAAAAAATTGATGTCTATTGTTCACGATACCTGATGCATTCACTTTTACGTAATTTTGCCTCAAAGTTAACAGATGTGACCTGATTTCATGGGGTCTTTAAAATATTTCTCACATCTAAAATTCTCTAGTAGTTGTATGTTAAGTTTTTCCAAAATGATCTCTGAAAAAGTATTACTATACCATTACAAATACCATTCAGATGACAGCTTAAAAATACTTGAACGATTACTAAATTTGCCCAACATTATAATAGGACTAGACATAAGGATAATCCATTATATATTAGTGACTTTTATTGAGCTAATGTCCAGTTAAAACAGATGGACAATGTCTGAAATGACAGAGAGGGCCTGACAGAAGCTCTTCCTGTGGGGTAGGGTTTATATACCAATAAATCTTGTGAATTGGACATTATATTAGAAAATAAGTGTATTTCACGTGGACTATGTCATATCATGACAATGAAACTATTGGCTATGATATCTGTCTAGAGCTCAGGGAGGGTCACTAACAGGCCCGGCTGGCAGTGGGTGGACGAAGGTTGGCATCCGTAGGGAAGGGGTGCGAGGCTGGCAGAGAGAGATGTACCTTGAGGCGCTTTAGGATTAGAGGGCTTATTGAGGGCATGTTGCGGACGGTGATGGGCAACATCTGCTGAGGTCACAAAGCACAGGTGGGCCACAGTGCACAAAACCAGTTCATAATATGTAGTTAAAATAAATCGACTGACAGCCCTGTTAAAACATTTACATAACAAACATTATCATTATCAGTGATAATGTTTCTATCTTCATTTCCACTGTGACAGCATTTGTGACTCTGCAGCAATGCTGCGTCGATCAGGCTGGATTCAGTCTTGCCACAAAGAGAGCTTCGCAAATGGACTTACTGTGGCCTGTCCTCCAGCACAGGCGTTGACAATACGGCGTTTCTGTTGAGATCAGCAGCATTGCAAAGTACAGATTGAAGAGTTATTGACCCATAGACATACCACTAATAATTGATGTTACCTTACAACTTGCCTTCTTGGGAGTTGCCTATATTTCACAACACTATGTAATGGTTTACACATAAAAATGCATCCCAAAGAAGGAACTGAAGACTACTGAAAATGCTGCAGTTCTGCATTCTTTCTTTAATTCTAATTCTAATTCAATCAAATGTTGGTTTACATTTTTCAAAACCCTAATACATTGTTTTATACATACATTTTAATACATAAATACATTTATTTCCAGGTTTAAATGGAAAAAAACAAACACATTTTCAATGGGGTTTCAGATTTTTGGACCGTACTGTGCATGACAAATACACTACCATTCAAAGCTTTGGGGTTGGTAAGATTTGTCTCTTATGGTAATATTGTGAAATATTATTACAATGTAAAATAACTGTTGTCTATCTGAATATATTTTAAAATGTAATTTATTCCGGTGATGCAAAGCTGAATTTTCAGCATCATTACTCCAGTCTTCAGTGTCACATGATCCTTCAGAAATCACTCTAATATGTTGATTTAATAAACATTTCTTATTATTATCAATGTTGAAAACAGTTGAGCTTTTTGTGGAAACAATTGTGCATTTATTTTCAGGATTATTTGCCCACTCCGGGTGTGTGTTCACGGTGTGTGTGTGTTCACTGCTGTGTGTGTGCACTTTGGATGGGATAAATGAGACAGAGCCGAACGGATTCAGCATCACTGAACAGAGTCACGGGTCCATCAAAGCGGAGTTCTGTAGCTCTGTGTGCTAGTTTTTGTAATTTTCACAAATATGATTATACTGTTTCTAATAAGTAGGGCTGTTAATTTAATGCATTCGTTTACTGTGGTTGATTATTAAACTTTTAACACAATTAATCATCAAATTAATTTGTAAAGCTGGAAAAAGATTTATGTTCAATAATATGTAGTTAAAATAAATCGACTGACAGCCCTGTTAAAACATTTACATAACAAACATTATCATTATCAGTGATAATGTTTCTATCTTCATTTCCACTGTGACAGCATTTGTGACTCTGCAGCAATGCTGCGTCGATCAGGCTGGATTCAGTCTTGCCACAAAGAGAGCTTCGCAAATGGACTTACTGTGGCCTGTCCTCCAGCACAGGCGTTGACAATACGGCGTTTCTGTTGAGATCAGCAGCATTGCAAAGTACAGATTGAAGAGTTATTGACCCATAGACATACCACTAATAATTGATGTTACCTTACAACTTGCCTTCTTGGGAGTTGCCTATATTTCACAACACTATGTAATGGTTTACACATAAAAATGCATCCCAAAGAAGGAACTGAAGACTACTGAAAATGCTGCAGTTCTGCATTCTTTCTTTAATTCTAATTCTAATTCAATCAAATGTTGGTTTACATTTTTCAAAACCCTAATACATTGTTTTATACATACATTTTAATACATAAATACATTTATTTCCAGGTTTAAATGGAAAAAAACAAACACATTTTCAATGGGGTTTCAGATTTTTGGACCGTACTGTGCATGACAAATACACTACCATTCAAAGCTTTGGGGTTGGTAAGATTTGTCTCTTATGGTAATATTGTGAAATATTATTACAATGTAAAATAACTGTTGTCTATCTGAATATATTTTAAAATGTAATTTATTCCGGTGATGCAAAGCTGAATTTTCAGCATCATTACTCCAGTCTTCAGTGTCACATGATCCTTCAGAAATCACTCTAATATGTTGATTTAATAAACATTTCTTATTATTATCAATGTTGAAAACAGTTGAGCTTTTTGTGGAAACAATTGTGCATTTATTTTCAGGATTATTTGCCCACTCCGGGTGTGTGTTCACGGTGTGTGTGTGTTCACTGCTGTGTGTGTGCACTTTGGATGGGATAAATGCAGAGCACTAATTCCAAGTACGGGTCACCATACTTGGCCACATGTCATGTCACGTCACGTTAATACATCTTCGGAAAAAAATCTTACTGACCCCAAACTGAACAGTAGTGTACATATTCAAATACAGTAGCATTCAATAATTCAAATACAAGATAGAAATATATTATCATTTATATATATTTTAAAAAAGCAATATTAAGTAAAATGCATTAATAAATGCATTTTTACTATATTGGCTCACTGAATCTATATTGGCTCGCTGAATTTTAGAGTAAGAGGAAAGTACAAGCAAATCAAGAAGGCAAGTGCTTTCAAGTGTTCTTATCTCCCTGCAGAAGGTTTTTCACCAATTTTACCAGAAAGTTGCATTATGTTAAGGTACTCTATGCATAAGGAGGCCAGTCAAAATATGAAAGACACATGGTATTTATGTATTTAACATTTGGATGCATTTTTGATGCCATATAAAGTTACAGTTGCATAGTGTACCTTAAAATGATATACCACAACCATAAAAGTTCCCTGAGAAGGCCAAAGAAAAAGCAGGAGAACAGCTGCGTGTTAAGATGTGTCATTATAAATTCCCACAGTGTTTTCAATCAGTTGTAATAACAGGCACCGGACGGTGATGGGCAACATCTGCTGAGGTCACAAAGCACAGGTGGGCCACAGTGCACAAAACCAGTTCACCAGGAGGCCAAAGGAAGGAAACGGGCCAGAAAGAGGAGAGGAGGGTAAGGGAAAAACAGAAAAACAAGTGAAAAAGAGAGTGAACAGTGAGGAAAGAGCAAGGCAAGGGCATAGAGAAAGAGAGAGACGAAGTAGAAGAAGGAAAAGACAGAGCCGAACGGATTCAGCATCACTGAACAGAGTCACGGGTCCATCAAAGCGGAGTTCTGTAGCTCTGTGTGCTAGTTTTTGTAATTTTCACAAATATGATTATACTGTTTCTAATAAGTAGGGAAGAAAAAGCAGGAGAACAGCTGCGTGTTAAGATGTGTCATTATAAATTCCCACAGTGTTTTCAATCAGTTGTAATAACAGGCACCTTTCTGCACCTCCAGCAGTGCACGTGAATAAACTAGAGCACAGTTCTCAGCTATGTCTCTCTTTGCAGCAGGACTGTAACACACACATATTCACGGTATTAGGGATGAGGGACAGCGAACAGCCCACAAACCTTCAACATTAGAGCCTGACTGGAGCGCAAAGCTGCCAGCGTTTTCATCTGGAGCCCCTGCTTAAAATGGCCCAACATACAAATACACGGATATGGATACGGATACATAAACACATGCACACACACACACACACACACACACTGTGTGATTAAACAGGCACCTTTCTGCACCTCCAGCAGTGCACGTGGATAAACTAGAGCACAGTTCTCAGCTATGTCTCTCTTTGCAGCAGGACTGTAACACACACATATTCACGGTATTAGGGATGAGGGACAGCGAACAGCCCACAAACCTTCAACATTAGAGCCTGACTGGAGCGCAAAGCTGCCAGCGTTTTCATCTGGAGCCCCTGCTTAAAATGGCCCAACATACAAATACACGGATATGGATACGGATACATAAACACATGCACACACACACACACACACACTCAAGTGATAATTCCCATTTTTGTTCCACCACTGCAGGGTGTATCCTTTCAGTCTAGCGCAGTGACCTCTGGGTTTAACCCTAACTGCAAGGAACTTATAGTACACAACCACCCAAAAAGACCACCCTTATGTGCAGCTTTCTAAATAGTCTACTGCCTCCCATGTGGCCTAGCCAACATGCATGAAAAACAGCTCTGTTTTGATGTGATATGGCTGTATGATATACTTCATACACTTATTTATACACAATAAAAACAGTGATTAAATACTTAGAAAGAAGACTATCAACTTGTGTCCTGCTGCTATTACTGTAATTTCTTTTTTCAAGCCAAACACAGATTCCGAAGAAACATCTCCTGCCAAGGTTGTTTTTCTATTTTTATATCGCGTGCTGTTTTTGAGATTACATAATTGATAAAATAGCTTCAAAAGGCCAAAATTGCTTTTAAATAGACCAGGGCTATTACCAAAACCCCTATCCACCACATAAGAAACTTGGCCGTCTTTAACAGAGAGCCTTATCAAATCCAATTCAGCAGGCTTTTGGTAAAATTGCCTTGTTTACATGAAACTGTGATTTCCCCGAGAGAGAGCTGATCAAGTTTGAGGCCCTGCCTTGGCATGTGCTGCCTATCCAAGACAACATCCAAGCTGTCAATCTATTGCTCCTGCCTTTTCCACCTCATTTTAATGTCTCTAATTTAACTGCAAAACATATTGTAAATGTCTTTTTAAGGGAAAACATGACAAATCACTTTGACAAATAGAAGAATATCACATAAACAGGAATGAAAACATATGCTTGGGATTTTCCAGCACTCAACACCAGATAATTTTTTTATCATATTCGGTAGCTTATTTTAATACGTAAATGAACTGTGTTTATGATATCACAATATCAATTCAATAAGTTTAATAAAACATCCACTCACCCTGTGAGTGTAGTCACCACATACACCCTAGAAAAAATAAAAATCCATCACACACAGTCCTCTAAGGGCATTTCACAAATTATAATAACATTAGCTACTATTTTAATGCATTTCATGCATGATTTTACCTTCTCTCCTTTTGGACCAGGTTCACCCTGAAAAATAAGATTTGAACAAAAACTTAAAGTCCATCCAAAACCTAATTTTTGCATAACATTCCAATGCCAGGTGAAAACTCCTGTGAAATTATGACTATGTACTAATACATATTAAAGCAAATGCTTACTGGTACTCCTTTAGGACCACGAGGACCCTGGGAAAATAATCAGAATAACAATATGGAAGTGTTACTGGATTGTCCATGATTAACTTTTCCTGTTTACAAAACCTCTCAGCCATAACAAGCACATAAATTCCTTATAAATTAATTTCCTTATGTTAGAAAAAGGAAAAACAAGAAAGAAACCTTTTTATTTTATTTTTTAAGTGCTAAGGCTGAAGCTACATTTTGCTTGAGGAAGCTTTAGTAGGTTACAAGTGTCATTGTGTGCTTGTATGGAGGGCATTAATAAAACAATGTCCCACCATGCATTATGCTCTCTTAAAAAAAAACATGTAATCCACAGCCTTAGAGCTGACAGCTAGATTGATTAAATGCCTTCAGAGGAGCCATAATATACATCCAGAAACATATCAATTTCTTTAATACTACCATATATGAACAAATTAGCAAATGTGAAGCATGAAGAATCTAATTAGAAACTTGTCAATAAAAGATGAAAAATCCAGCTTAGGTTGTATTTGGGTAAGCTATGTATTATTTAATAGCTCAATGTGGCATTTTCAAAAGCTCAGCAGGGGCCGTTCAGCTCTTATGCTGTCTTATAAAGGTGTCATTCTGTGCTTCTCTTTTATAGTTTCTAAGCATTCCATTTCTCACGATGCTATAAAAGAAAGAACATAGAGGTTGTACTATATTTCACAAGGAATTGTTTAAAGCGCACAGTTTGGAAGCGTAATGTCTCTGTCCATTGTCTTTCATCACGTAAAAGAAAGATGTGGACTACATTTTTCAAATTGCAGTTTAGGAGGACAGAGCCAACCCAATGTCCTTGTTTTAATACCACAGGTGGCCATAGTCATATAGATATTGACTTAAAGTCACTTTTGACAAACCCCACTGAATGGAATGGGTAAGCAGCCTTTCTTCTCTCACACATACCACCATTTAGTCACTGTACCCATAAATCAAACAAGAAGAGTGTTGTTCTTGTGAATTTATATGGCCATGCTTACAGCCTAGATAAACATCACTGTAACAAGCCATCTTGAAAACAAATGGCTCAACTGGTGAGTTTTATAGACACTGACAAATTTCTCTTTGTGATATGTTTTACTTTTTTACATATTTCTCTTTATGACAGATGGTTTTTATTCCAACGGTATTTCATTAGTGAAAGCAAACATGACAGATCTCATTATGTGTGTCTTTTAAACTAAAAGTATTTAGATTTGTATTTTAACACTTCAGTTAATTCCAGCCAAGGTTAAAATGTGTTTTCTTAAGATCACATTCATAGGAAACTGTTTTTGCACTGCACCTTTAAAGCCAGTTAATAATGGCAAAAATTTTTTAAATGGTAATACAAATTCTTACCATATCACCTTTTGGACCATTCTGTCCCTGTAAGGTTGAAAAAAAAAGTTTGCCAAAGGAAAAATATCCATTCTCTTTAATCTTTTTAAGTAGTACAAATCACTGCATTCTTTGTGCACATATTGTTATCGATTTTATATTCTGTCATGATGGTGACAATAGAGAATTTATTACAATAATTAGCATAATTATTATTACCATAATTATCCTCTTCATTGCCAAAATGACGGTCAATTATCAATTACTGCCAAATAATTTGGTACAAGGGTTCGGATGTTCCAATTACTGAAACATTTGTAAGGAATGATGTGAAACTCACAGGTTTCCCGTCCAAGCCGATGGGGCCCTGGAAAAAAAAAGTGGGAGAACAGCAGATTGGTGACATTACGAAGGCACAAAACAGCTCCAATTCTCCTGTCTAGACTAGCTGACTAATATGACAATGATTATGGAAAAAAAAGTTATTTCCTTGAGGGTCAGGCTAAGTCAGAGGTGAAGCGTAAAAGACTCACTAGAAACACTGTGGGTATTGTACTTTAACTCTGTGTACCCAATGTGTCCAGCAGATCAGTGATCATGCAGGGTAATAAACACCTAAAAACTGATTTTAACATCCAGAGCATGCAGACTGCCTATAGAAAGCGCTCAGGGACATTTATACACCTTACAGTGCCTATATAATCTCACATCATCCAACTTCAGTGGTTTTCAAGCCCTGGGTCCCGACCCTCGGGTGGGTCACCAAGATGATTTAAGTAAAATGTATACATTTATGTAACAAAGTTCAAGACTCAGGGAAGAAGGAAGCGGGAACTGGCAAACATAACTTTAATAACAAAATAAACATAAACAACAAAACGAAAGTGAGCGGCAGCCGCCTCACAGCAGACTCCAGTGTGTATCTGTCTCTCTGTGTTTGCGGTCTGGAGAGCATCAAAGGTTTCTATTCACATTGTGTTTTTGCAGCATTGAACACTGTAGGCAATCTGTTGATTTCTGGAATGCGATGGCCAATCAGTTGTTTCAGTTAGTCACGATCCACTCACCGCTCAAAACGCCAGAGTTCTGCAAGCTCGCGAATCCTCTCATTATAATCAACAAAGTGTGGACGTGATGTAAATAATAGATTCATTGTGCAGTGTAGAGAGATTCACTGATTATAATGGAATTTTCTTAGATTGCGATAAACTGAAATGAGTGACAGCTTTTCAGTGGTTATGAAGGGAGCGCTCATTGCGCACTTTCTTGACTATATATATAATCCATTCAGAATTTGAATAAGCTTTGTTTTTCATGCTGCTAAGAGGACCAACTTGGAGTATACGCTGCAAAGTTTCAGAAGTGACATTCGCATATAAATGGAGTATTCCCTCTTGAAATCACAATGACTGACAGTGATAATCATAATAATTGACTGGACAAAATATGTTACGTATAAAAAGATGTGCATGAAGGCTAAAGCACCCTAACTAATTTCATCTATCTATCTATCTATCTATCTATGCTTGATTTGATGCATGTAAATGGTTGTATAGGGTCACGTCAATTTAAAAAGAAAAAAATACGGTCGCTTTTAAAAAGGTTTGAAAACCACTGTTCTAGAATGACAGCTGTACATGTCTACTATATATTTATTCTCACTTCCTTGAGTCATTTCCACTTACAGCCATTAAATAAGGGGCTACCGAAGCTGTGGCTAATTGATGGCTTTTATAAACTAACAAATAAACAAGTTTGTCCAATTGGCTTCAGACAAAAGTCACTTACCGGAAAGCCTGGAAATCCTCTAGTACCGGGTTGTCCCTGAGGGGAGACAGAAAAAAAAAAGAAGAGGAGTTATTTTCTAAAGGAAAAACATAAGGATTATGTGAAGTCGATAAAATGAGGTCTGTGTTGAGAGATGCTGTATTGTTCCTTCAAACTCAGTTGTGTCGTAATTGAGGTTGAAGGACAGGAGCCTTCCTGCTCTCTAGGAAGCACTTTGAGGAGACAAAGACAAATAAAGCTCTAAAAAATGTGGGACACCGACTAAAAATTCAACACTGGAAAGAACAATCTGAAAAACATTAAAGAGTTGGCCTTATGCAATATGTGAGAGCCAATGAGACAAGGCTAACAAATTAAATAAGTAAATGTCAGTAATGATTAGTGCTACATTCTCCTGTCAACAATGCCAAGTTTGCTTTCCTGAAAAAACTTTTGTAGCCCTTGGGAAAAGAGGAAGTCATTCAATATGCCTGGCAAAAAAGAACTGCATTGGAGCAACCTGAGAGAAAATTACAAGGAAGAGGTGAACAGAGCTAATGAAGGGGATTGTGTTTCTGGGTCTCAGGTAGTTATTGGAACATGGTTGATTTTCTCTGCCTTGGGAACCTGGTCTGGAATAATGGAAGTAGCAGCAGAATCACCCGAAACAGAACTGACAACATTAATTTTGTTGGCATGAAAGTGTAGCAAAGAGTAACAGAAAACAATTGAATAAAACAAGTCTAGTCTACTGAAAAGAACTCTGAATCCACTATGGCCACAACACATAACATTCTTCAGGAGTGATACAACATCAATTTCCTGACTGCAGTCTGTCTTGGAAAAAAAAAACACTTTTCAGTTGTTTTCAGGACAGACACAATTTTTCAAAGTGTACCTTGAACAAAACATGACAAATACAACAAAAGATACTTGACAACATAAGACAGGGGTTTTCAAACTGGGGTCCAGGAAAGCTAATGGATCAAAAAAAAAAAAAAGGATTTAGCATTTTTATTTTTTAAGACCTGTCAAAGTGTCAATGTTAAGTTAAGCATAGCTTGTATTTATGTTGTATCTTTGTTGTACTTTCAGTTTTAACCATGTTCCCCGCCTGATCAGCCAAGACAGTAACTGTTGATCGAATAACAACTCAGTACATCATCTAATAATCCCTCTTGTCTATTCCCTAACTGCCCCACTTATGTGTGAGAAAGAAACTGTTACCGCCCCATCATGTCTACCTGCCTGGCTAAAGCAGTCATTTCCGCTGGCCTTTCCACACTTTTGCCTCAAATCAACCTCTGTGACCCTTTTGGAGGTGAGGACAAAGCCTATGCTCTCAGCTCACCTGCTTAAGACATTCCCTGCAAAGAAACTTCTCCCTGTCACCAGTTCTCTATGCCTGATGTCCACTCCTGACGTCTTATTAGAGGTGATGGGTCAGAGGTATAGAGAAGTGTATAATCAGCAAGTAGAAGAACAGATGTCTGAACAGTCTGAAGGTCCTCCCATAAGAGTGTGCTGGGATAAATGGGGAAACCACAGGTTATGCACGGTATAATCAGCAAGGAAATTCCACGTCTGATGGCGTAACATTACGTTTTTGTCTTACTGAGTGGAATGCATGGAAAGGGAAAGAGTGCCAGTTTGGGGACAAGCCCCATTTCGTCTGATGGCTGACCACTCATTAACAGATACAGTGCAATCTGCACGTCTAATGTCTGGATTATAATGACAAGGGCTGGGATGTTTTCATTCCTTCCTGCTAATGAAGATGAGAATCCAAATTGGCATCATTATGTGGGAGTCACAGACCCGAAATATTCTGATGAAGTGTAAGTGCTTCCATACAAGCTGCTGTGGGATACCCGTCCTGTTCGTGCACATTAGAGATTGCGTCTTGATTAGCAGAGATTTATTGGATTTGCTCCACATACAGTAGTGTGCTGGAGGACGCTGATCCTGCTTATCTACCCTACACCACATATTTATCGAGCTCACTTTGGGGTGGTCTGTAACTTCAGTGCGCGAAGAAAAACAATAGAAGAAACATTTGCCAAGAACCCCTGGAATCATAAAAGGATTAAGGCCAAAAGCTGCTAAAATCTGCACTATGACCTGTATCTACTCTGGAGAGCTGACATTAGGAGAAGATGATGAAGTGTTTTAGCAGTGACAGAGCAAACACTTACAGGAGGTCCTCGTGGGCCAATGACAGACAGACCTGGCTCTCCTGGCGCTCCCTATGGACAGATAGAGAGGTAGAAAGACAGTGAGGAGAAGAACTGACAGAAAGGAGACAGAATGATATCCACTAAACTACACCTAGTACACAAAGCCAAACGTATCAGTGAATATATTGTATCTGCAGAATAGAAACACGTTCGCTGAAACACCCTGTAACATCTGTTTAACATAACTCTTTTGCTAAGCCGCCTCACGGAGAGCACTTGCATGTGGCTCAGAGGTGAACACGGTATTTTGGTCTGTAAGTAAAATGTCAGCAGACCTAGGTTCTCATTTCAGGGTCGTAGTTTACGTCTTGACAGCGAGTTGGGAGGGTCAGGGAGCACTGCTGAGTAAACAGCAAACGGCCCGGTGGGTTGGTTATCTGGCGCAAACTAGGTGATTTGCACTGTCTCGGCCTGTCCGCAGCACTGCACCAAACATCCAAGCGCAATCCCGCAACGCTCTGTGGTCAGACAGGAAAGCTCTCGGGTTTCCAGCACTTTCCCTAATTAGCTCTCTCATGTGAAACTCTATCAGGAAGACACCTTTGATGACCCAGCCATCCATCAAATTGTGGGCAATTTTTAATTTTTCTGGTTTGATGCCCACTTTATCACAGGATAGAGAAGTATTTGTTTTAGCACTTTTTTGAATCACCTACAAAGGTTACTGGTGAGTGAAAAGGCTGATGTATGAAACTGATTTCCAGGTTGTGGAAAAGGAAAAGACTAAGCTTTGCCCCCAAGGTTTATGGTTACCCAAAGAATCTTGCAGAGATCTGTGCAACAGGACAAACGAAGATCTAGAGATATCCCTTTGAACAGGCTTACATTACAAGCATTTGGCAGCTAGGAAAGGGTACAGGATAAAGAGTCAGTTCTGCAGTTCTTGCAAAGTTCAACCAATCAATCACCAATTCGCCTGATTTTGGGCTTGAGCATTCCAACGCAACCAATTATGATTCAGCTGAATCTATTTGCTTGAGGACTGAAGTGCTACGGCTGCCAGTTTCAGGGCTAGCGTGCCCATTCATCTTGAGGGGGTTTGTTTTGATATCTAATGAAGTGAAGTTCTTCACCCAAAATTTGTTGGGTCAAGACTTACCCATGCTGGAAGGTAAAACATGGCCGCACTTAAAAAGAGAGGATAAAAACTAAACCCCTGAAACAACGAGGGAAGCCCACTGATTATTCTGGACGAGAATCTGGTGGGTCTTTCCAAGGTCATATATTGTCTGCTTCTCTACTTGTTGGCTCGGTGGTCACATTGCTATTTATTTCCTTTCCAAGTTCTTTATAACCCCAATGTTTTTCTGGCAAGTGAGGGTAACCATCCAGAAGTTTCACTACTTTTCTGTGATGGTGAAGGACGAGGAACATGTTCCTCCACACATTTCTTTTGCTAGCAAGCAAACAAGTTTGATGAAGGGAGGCCGCAGAACTGCTGGCTTGTACAAACACTGAGCACAGCTGCCAAAAGGGACTGGTTTAAGAATGGCTCAAACCACATTTGCCACAACAGGAACTGAAGTTCAATGCACTAAATCCAGTATAGAGTGCTCACTTATACCAAATACAGACTCAAGGACACATCCAGTGACTACACAACTTTTAGATAGTTTTGGACGTGTCTAGAAGTGATAGGGTTTCGTAAGCTGCTCCATTCCAAACATCTCTTTGTCTAGAGTGGGGAGTCTTAAAACTTCAGAGCGCTCCAAAAATAAACACAGGTAATCCAAGCATTGTGGGAAACGTCTTCCGAATGTGACCCTCAAGGCCTTTCAAAATAAAGCCTAAAGCCTTCCTGATATAAATCACGATACCTGTGCACTTTGTGCAATAGGTTTGGGTTGTCCCCCCCCACACCCGCATCAACACAGCCACCCACAATGAGAGAGAGTCTGAATTCTGCACATGCAGGCCAACATCCTGCACTTACCTTCTCCCCCAGGTTTCCCTTTAAGCCCTGGTCAGTCACAGCAGACACAGTCACATGCACAGTGAGAAGGAGAGAGACAGAGAGAGGAACCTGGGTTAGCGAGGTTCTGAGAGGACAAGGGCATGCAGCAGCCTGAGATGGAGCGTTTGGAGGTCGGGAGAATGGGACACACTGATGTACTGGAGCATTTTGGGTTGTTGAGGGGTGGAGGCTACAGGGGAACGGAAGCACTGGAGTGTTACACTGGCCTGTGGGGAGTAATGGATAGTAGATGAGGGGGCTGCTAACTTTTCTCACAGACAGACTGGTCAGTGGAGGAGGTTGGAGGGGGGAAGGATAAGGCATGAAGGGTGAAAAAACGCTTCCTGTGAGAATCTAAAGGAGCACAATGTAGCTTTACACTGGGTGAAATATGGAAAGCTCTGCTTGGGGCTCACAGTTTGAGCTGAACACTGCTGAAACCTGCTTTTAGGTAGGGATTGTTTTTCAAGAGAAAGCATTAGGGTGAGCTTAGAGTATGCAACCATACAAGGGTCAAGAGTCTGGAATGTCTCCTTTGAGGACAATGAAATTTTATCGGTTTCTTGCTGAAAATGTTTAATGAAGAGTAGCTGCTACGCTCCAGGGGGACATCTATATGACTACGTGGATTTTGGTCGATCCTGCTTTCTTTTGCGACATACCATGCATTGCGCTAATCTGAAAAATGGGCAATTCCAAATGCACAAATCTTATGAACGAGGAGGTAAAACAGAGCTCAAAACTGTCTGTGGTTTTCCAATCTGTTTCTCTCATTTTGAATATGTATGTATTGTCTCTCTGTGGATATATATCCAAAACGTTTCTTCCAAGATCTCCTCGAGGTTTGGCTGCACATTTTAACTTCTCAGCATGTAGAGTGTAACTGATAAGCAAAAGGGCTTCTTTGAGGTCTATTTAAAGTTCAACAAGTAAAGCATTTTCACATGACTGAGCAGCCAAGACAAATTGAGTAATAAGGAGAGAGAGTTTCTCATCAAATGCAGCCAGAAAGAACTCTGGTCTTCAGTCCTTGTTCAAATGTGACAGGGGGTCTGTGAAATACTTCAGACTTCACAGTCAGACATTTTGTTAACTATTAATGGTGGTGATGAAGTGGGAACCATTTTCTGGCTAAATAAATAAGCTATAGTTTTTGGTATACATCATATAAACTTTTGGAAGAAATTCATATGAAATATTGTGAATGCTTACATTCACAGTGAAAGCTAAAACAGGTCAAAATGAATTAGGAAGTGATACTAACCACTGATACTGGATTCTGTATATAACATACTCTGGTAACTAAAGCAAACATTACTCTTCAGCTCAGTCTGACCTTATATTATCAATGTGACCTTTGGCATAAATACAAAAGTGTCGTACAGTTGCATCTAGAAATGTTCAGCTAGAAATGATGTCAATGGCATGACACTGACCAATTATTCAAGACAACAGCCATTTACTACAGACTACCTGGTTGGCCTTAGTGCATTTCATCAAATCACTCACCATTCTTCCAGGAATGCCCATTGATCCTTTGTCTCCCTAGTGGTCAATGCAAAGTCAAGAAGGGAAATCAGGAACAAAAAATCTGTCAGATTGAACCTCTACAGTCTATTGGAGTTATTACCACTACCGCTAGTGACTAAATGACATTCAACTACATGTTCACATGGTAAGGCTATAAAGAGTTAGTAAAGTTAAGCTGGCCAATGTGATTCTAACTAAATGTCTATATTACTAAACATTCACTAACTGTACTGTTAAATTTAAAGGTGATTATGCAGGCATGCCAAATACTGTCTTGGAAAAAAAAAACTACAAGTCAGCTACTCAAGAATTTGATGATGAATGTGTAGTGGTCAGACAGCAAGCGTCACCAGTGGTTACATGATATCAATGAAAGCATGAGGTTAATGCAGCGTATTTTTATATTAGGCCCATTTCATAATCACGGTTCTTGCATAAGATGATGTTTGCTAGCTGACCATATGACAGATGATGAAGTGACTGAAAAAGACAGCACTGTGGAAGCATGACAGTTTGTTTCCTATTGGAATGGTTTAAAAGAATAGTTCACCAAAAAATGAAAATCCCGTCATTTATTCGCCCATATGTCACTTTAAACCCACATGACTCCCTTTCTCCCTCTGAAAACAAAAGGGAAAAAAATCTGAGGATTTTTTCCCCCATGCTGCTTTCCATGCAATTACAATAGACAGAAACTGAAGCTTTCAAATTTTAAAAATGACAGAAAAGCACCATACAGCAGTGGCGTTCCGTCCATATAAGCTGCGAATGCTCCGCATACCCAGGCTATTTGAGAGAATAAGTTCACGGGATAATTCATATAAACATGATTATAAGTTGATCCCTTGTCATTTGAAATGTAACTTAAAGCTTAAAGAGATAGGAATAAGTACGTAAAATGATTTTTTTGCCAAACGGCAGTAATTTTCTTTATATCTACCAGCTGCGATTGCTTCTGGGTGAGCGGATTCTCGCCTCCGCTCTGTTGCTATGACTCGTCAGGATTATAGCGTGTTCTCAGGGATTTGCTGGTCTGCTGCAGATTTAAATGCGCGAGGTAAACTGTTCGCGAAGCGCTCGCCCAAGTGGAAAAATGCGCTGTTGCTGCCAGATCTCGATTGCCGAAAATTACATTGTGTTTGATGCAAAACCAACTCGACTTAATCAAAAGAAAAAAACACTAACTGTATATTTTTATTTTGTCAAGCAAAGCAAATTGAAAAAAAAAAAAAGTCCACTGAATAACTTACATTTTTGGTCATAGACAACGTACGTTGAAGATATACGTTATTGTCAACGTTATTGCCTAAGCGGTAAATTTAAAAAAATGTTTATAAAAACGTGGGCTATATAAAATTGTAATAATAACAAACATCATATTGTTTTGCGTATGCTCGCGTCGCTTACAGTTAAAGTCCTTCTCTTATTTTATTGTTTGTGTAAGGTTGCAACGTTACTTGGCAATATTTTAAAGATATTATTATTTTTGTTATTTTGCATGGTCTGTTATAGGAGTAGTGTCACCCGAGTGGGAGTTTTAACTCCTATTCACTG